CGATGCCTTATCATGGTCGAAAAAGAAGGTGTTAAATGAAAAAAGAAGGATTTATAGGCTCAATGTCTTAACACTGTAAACTTTAAGGATAAACCAGAGCTTAAGTAGATTTTAGATACGCCTTATAATATTTGAGATGAAGCGATGAATGATTTACTTAAAGCTACGCAAAGTTAATTTTTCGTTTTGCATTACCCGCCAACCGATTTTTTCAATTTTTCAAAAATTTTTTTTTTTGAAACCCCAATTGTGTTAATTATTCTATTTTTGCTATTTAATTTTTTCAATAAAAGATTCTGGGTTTCCCCGATAGAGACCAAAATTATCTGATAGGACTAACAGAAAAAAATTTGATCGCTAACCAAATTTTCTGATTTCATATTACACAAAACGAAAAATTAACTTTGCATGGCTTAGATATGAACATAAGTCTATTAATTTACAATAAACTAAAAAAAAAAAAAAAAAATCTGCTGCCCGCCTGACATTTTGAATACCATGTAATGTAAAACAAAAAATTAACTTTGCGTAGCCTAAAGGATATATGTCTAATTTTGCTGTGAAACGTAAAAACTTTAAAATGAAGTTCCATTCTACAAAAGATCCACAACAATCAATTGCAATACTTTCTAAATATTGAGGTAAATCTAGTGGTGAATTCTTATTTCTTTATAAAATGTGCTTAGCAAAATCTCTTCAAAAAAACTTGATTATAATAGTTGCCTTGTTATAAACTGTCTTGGTGAATTTTATCTTTGTATACCTGAGCCACTTGAAATATGGGCTGAGAACCAAGATCCTTTATTTTCAGAAAATCAAGAAAAGGTTTGAATTAATTTTTTTATTTTTTACTTTTTTTAGATTATTTACATTTATTAACTACTATTAAAAAAGGGTGGATCGGGAGTAATTGCACTAGATCCAGGTGTACATACTTTTATAACTAGTTATGATCCAAGTGGAATAGCTATTAAAAGAGGTAAAAATGATATTAATCAGATTTATCGACTTTGTCATATATATGACAAACTTCAAAGTAAACGAGATATAATTCATGGAAAAGGGAACAAACGTAAATATTACAGATAGTTTTTAATAATAGATTTATAGATTTATATTATTTATAATTTTGACTGATTATTTTTTATTTTAATTATAGACTATAACGTGTTATGTTGCGTATTCACAAGAGGATCGACTGTCTAGTTCGTGAATGTTATTATAAATTGACTAAATAGCTTTGTAAAAATTATCGTATAATAATATTACCAGAATTTCATACTCAAAGAATGATCAGACGTGGGCAATAACATATTGGTTC